CCATGATTTCTCTCTTGTATTTTTAAGGCTTTTGTACATGATCCAGTATTGTTGTTTTTGGATGTTTCAGTGCATCTTGGATTGATTTCTTGTGATTTTCCCCGAGTGTGTGTGTGTGTGTGTGAGATTCTTCCTTCCGTATCTCCGCTTTGATCTGGAGATATGTTTCTTACGGGAATCTGAAAATGGAGACGTGTTTGGGAGTCATAGATCGTGTTTCGTGGCAACTTGTTTATCCCAATATGGCAAACTAACTGTCTTGTGAAGTGTGTGTGTGTGTGTGTTGGGTGAGAAAGCGAGGTGAGGAAGGAAGGAAAGGGCTGAGAGAAAAGAGGGAGGGACGTAATGAAAGAGTAACTCCAAAACATTTAAAGAAACATTTCCCTCTCAGCGACCATTTGGATGTTGTTTCTGGAACGATGAGAGCAAATGTTTTCCTTTGTGCTCCCCGCCCTCCTCTTCCTCCCTCACACATCCCATGAAGGGGAATTTGGGATTGTATTTTTTCCCCGAGCACTGGCATGAAACGAAACTGTGGACTGTGTGTAGCTGTGTGTGTGTGTGTTTACTCTTTGCACACATGGGTAAAGGGCCTGTAGGCGGCTGTGAATCTGAGATTGATCCATAGTCTAGTGGGGCATCAACCAAAGTGTGTGTGGTGTGTGTGTGGTGCCTAAAGGATTTTAAAACTGCCGACATGCTACCAAGGCTTTAGCATTCTTGACTGTAGGGCTGCACAGTTTATCAAAAATGTTATATCGAAATTGCAACAAGGCCAATGGAATATTCAAATTGCAGGAAGCTGAATATTTGTTACAATTTTTGTAATGAAGTATTTTGGGGCTGCTGAGATATACTGGCTTACAAATCTTATCCTCCATACTTGACATGTTAAAGAGGCCATATCATGCTTTTCTTGGAATTTCCCTTTCCTGTAGTTATATAGGTTTTTAGTGCATGCTAAGTGCTGCAAAGGCTAAAATCCCAAAGTTCCCTCCAGAGGAAGTTTCCCAAATCTTGCAGCCCTACTTGAGACGTGTGAATGTGTTCTTAGTGTTCATCGATGGGGGATATGTTGCTTTTTCTGCCTCACACACACCTGGTAACAATTAGAAATTTGATTTTAAGTGATTATAATTAGTTGGAACAACACTGTTGGCACGTATCCTGTCACACACACATGGAGGGGATGATGGAAAGGTGGTGGGGAAAATGGGTTCAATAACTCCCATTACCCAATTATAAAGAAAAGTCGTGATGGCCGGGTTTGGTCACTCATGCTTTTTCTCACTTTTTACAGGTCATAATGAAACCAAGAGCCACGTTATGTATGACTTATGACGAGCAGAAAAGAATAATGTGTTTTTAACCCAGCACATTTAAATATATACTGGTTGTCGCTTTTTATGAGAAACCATCACTAAAATGAATTTTGATGAGATTAACATTTTATCTTTGAGACGGTATTTATTTTAATGTTAAGAAACAATATTCAGTATTCATTAGAAGTCAAGTTAAATAATCATATAAAATAGGTTAAAATGTGTTTATTACAAATGCTACAGTTTTGAATTAGTATTAATTATTATGAATGTATTATAATGCGAGATAGAGCCTTGGCTGAGGTCCATGCTTTTCCACTTTTATAATTCTATAACATCACCAACAGCATCACTGTTTGCTCTGTATCACATCTCTATGAACTCACCAAACCTCTCCTGCTCCACCTGTGTTTGCTGTAACATTAAACCTCACTGACTTTTGTCACCAGTAGCAACAGGTTTCCACAAAAGACGTCTAATCCTAAACCAAATAATGAGATGCATGGTTCTCCTTTTACAGCGATGATGCCAAAAACAGATGAGACCGGACAAAGTAGTGAAATCACTTCAGTGTGTGAATAAGTCTCCGCTCTGATGAATAATAGATCGTATTATTAGACAAAACACACCGTAAGTTTTCTGTTTTTGCTGCCTCAGCGTTCCACAAGACAGATGAGGGTGTGTGTGAGTGTGTGTTTTCCTGCAGAGTTAATGTACTGAGACTAACTGAAGGTGTGTGTGTGTGTGTGTGTGTGTGTGTGTGTGTGTGTGTGTGTGTGTGTGTGTGTGTGTGTGTGTGTGTGTGTGTGTGTGTGTGTGTGTGTGTGTGTGTGTGTGTGTGTGTGTGTGTGTGTGTGTGTGTGTGTGTGTGTGTGTGTGTGTGTGTGTGTGTGTGTGTGTGTGTGTGTGTGTGTGTGTGTGTGTGTGTGTGTGTGTGTGTGTGTGTGTGTGTGTGTGTGTGTGTGTGTGTGTGTGTGTGTGTGTGTGTGTGTGTGTGTGTGTGTGTGTGTGTGTGTGTGTGTGTGTGTGTGTGTGTGTGTGTGTGTGTGTGTGTGTGTGTCCAGTAATTGGTGTGGTTTCGTGGGCGTGTGTGTATTGGCGTGATTGTGTGGTTTCTTATGTATGTGATCTTGTGTGTGTGTTTGAAGCTCCTGCAGTGTCTCTGACTCAAAGGGCATTCGCTACAAACCCACACAACTGTTTGCACATGTCAGTGATCATACACTGATGCAGCACGCAAACAGGGAGAGTCTTGAATAAATCTTGTAAGCTAGGAGTGTGAAAACATCTACCTTCACTGCATTTCTCCTGCGTGTGTGTGTGGATGCCTCTGTGTGTGATTAATTTGAAAGCTGCATTTGCTATTGATTTGATAGTGTGTGTGTGTGTGTGCACAGGCGCTGACGGGCCGTGGTTTTAATGTACTGATTTAGATGCAGTGGAAACTCTGCGAGCACAGCATGTCCCACAGATTCCCACAGGACTTATACTCACACACGCACACACACACACACACACACTCAGTCCCTTCCCCCTTACCCATATACAGACGGCACCCTTTCCCCTACACACATGGTTAGTTTTATCAGGGTAATGGCTATGCAGTGCGTTCAGTAATGGGTGAAGGGTGTGTGTGGGGGGGGGGATAAACATGAAACCTTTTCCATCTCTCCGGACGGACGTTGTGATTGGAGGACGGTTCAAAGGTTCAAAGTTTATTAATGGTCACACGTGCAGGCGGGTGGAGCGGTCTAATAAAAAAAACAATCGATAGCGGCATCATGCTGAGATATGAGATGTTTCACGAGGATTTGTCCTGTCGATGTTAATGGGGAAGTGTGTGTGACGTCACTGTGTATGTGTACACACACCATCGGAATGAAAGGGTGCGTGTGCTTGTGTTGAAGCCAGCACTTTAGTGTTATCTTAGTCAAAGAAAACTAAGTGTTTTAGTCTAAATCAATGAAAACTGTTTTAGTCTTTAGATTTTATTGAACATTTTAGTCTAGCCAAAATATCCACCTTGGTTTTTCTACAAGCCATGTTGTCGATGTTGTAAACTTTATTAAGTAAAACAACTTAACTGCTGCTTTTAATTAAAAAAAAAACCCACTATAATTCTTTGTATCCTTTCTTTTCACAACTAAAGTCAACAGAGAATTTTTGTTCTTATCGACATTTAAGTATTTTCCGTTGACATTATTGCATGTTGATATAGTCACTTTGTGTGTTTAATGATGTCGGTTTCGTCCCGCCATCATTTCCTCTTAGTCATGGGAAAAAATCTTGTTAACGAACCTATTCAGTCATCGTTTTCTTGACTCATTGACATCAATAAAGTCTACTGCACAGGCCGCAGCAGTCTGAGTAAATATTAGATTTGGACGTTGGTTTCCTGCCGGGCAAACATGGTCTCATTCACGACAGAGATGAAATATCTGTGGATCACAAACGAGAAACAGTTTGAAGATACGTGCTGCTGAATAACTGTTAAAAAATGTTGTATTTTTGCTTGAGGTTGACTAGGTAGATCTGAAACCATTACCTAATCTTAACAATCAGCTGGCAGAAAACAGCTGTCATGATAATGGTTTAAAAGTCATTTTTCACATTCTCTGGTTTGTGTTTCTGTATTGGAGGATTTGGTAATTGGTTGTTTCCGGTGATTGTCACATGGTGTGGTTAATGGTATTTAGGGCACCTGGTGTATGTGGAGGTTTGGTAGCATGACAATAGAGTGCCACAGTGACGCGTCCTAAAACCCGGAAGTAAGTTAGCATTTGACCACTTCTGGTTCCTTCGACAAAAAAGCCATGCAATTTCTCCATAGGATTTAGGAAAATAGCTGGAAATAAGGTCTGTGGTTGAGACAAAGTCAAGAGACGGATCACGTTTTGTTCTACGACATTAAATACATCAGCAGTGATTTCTGAAGAGTTGACGTGTCTGAAAAACGATGGTTGCTAACATGTGGCTGAATAGGACTACAGAAGTTGTCGAGGCCGTTGTACGTCATTACACCGAACACGTAAAACACTCCCGCTAAGTTTGTTTCCCCGTGTTCTGCTTGAAAGCAAGTACCTGCCTCCTGAAAACTGTTCAAACAAACGCTTCAACTTGTACCATTTAGAATCTGTATGTTTGAATATGGATCTTAAGTTGGCGTGACGTTGAAGCAGCGACCTTGCTGTAGTTCGTTTATAGCATAACGTTTGCTTCTGGCGACTAGATTTATGATTAGAAAATTATAAAAGTAGGGTAGACTTGTGGATATTATCCGGCTGAACAAAACGTGATCCGTCTCTTAAATGTGTGTCAACCACAGACCTTATTTCCAGCTATTTTCCAAAATCCTTTGGAGAAATTGCATTGCGTTTTTGTCGAAGGAACCGGAAGGAGTTTACTTCCTGGTTTTAGGACGCGTCACTGTGGCACTCTGTGGGGGTTAGCTTAGCTCTGATATTTTTGTTGACCGTATGATTCTGTTATTGTTTTGATTTACAATATTAAATATCCTTAAAACGTCAAGTTCAGTACAGACTTGATTATTTATACGCGTCACACCGATGAGCGAAGTTTAGCCTCAGAGCGGACGTATTGAATGGGAATAAAGCCGCCACATTGTTATTCATCAGTGCTGTTTGAGACTGACTGACGGTCTTCTCTCTCTTTTCTCAGGCGATGCCTACTCTGCAGGCTCCAGTCCCTTCCTGTCTGGTTACCACGGCCCCTCCCACCTGACCTCTGACCCCGGGTACAGATCGGCCAATCCCAGCAGTCTGCAGATGGCTCAGCTCTGGGCATCACACGCTCATGAAGGTAAATCACAAGAGACACACCGATTGTTCATTTATCAGCTGATCAATGTTTCAAATAACAATTTTGACAAGTTTTTCAGTTTATTTTTTTAATAATTTGTTTCCCTTATCAGTCAAGGATACAGCTTTAGCTTTGAATGAACATAACTTCCTAAATATAACTTTTACAAAAGCCTGCTTTACAATTACAGACACAATGAGAAGATTTGAAGTAACAACGGTCAGGTTGTGTTAGACTGTCTCCATCTTTTATTACACTAAATATTTTGTATGATAATAAGACTCAGCATTTCCTTTAATACAATTGAATAATTACATTATATAAATGCAGAACAAGCTCTTCAGTGTTTCCCCTAGGATGGAGTCATAGCAGCGGTGCTAAGGCCCAGCAAAATGTGAGCGTGGAGCGTGTGGAATTTTGTAGTGTGTGCACGTGCGAAGTGCGCCCCGCCAACAAGTGTCGATAAAATAAATTATATAAATTCTCAAAAATGACTTACTGTAATAATGTTAACAGATATTGCAATTATTTTTTGTATCCCTACCGAGCAACTATAATACGGCTCGACTACAAACAAATATTTGTAGTCCAG